CCCCACTCCCGCAGTGTTCACTTCCCTGATATCAGAGAAGTCGACCATTTCGTATAGACTATTCGCTACAAGCGTCGTCTGTCATCAGCGTGACGACGGCGCCACGGTCGTAGCGAGCAGGACGGATATTGGGGCTGACGAAAACCGGTTGTCGGTTAAATCGATGAAGTAGGCCGCCAGCACTGTTGATACGGTCGTTGGTTACTGCGTCACTGTCGTTGGTCGCTGAGATGTGTAAGGCCGACAGATGTGCAGTCTGCGTCGGATGACCACGACGGCGGTTACTGACCGCGACAGTGGCTATTGTGAACAATTGATCACTATCACTGTCTTCGTCGTCGTTTCCTCACTTTCTTCAAGTGTCGCGGTCTAACGGCTGTGCAACACGACCAATCGTAGGCGAAATATTATATCGCCAGCATTAGACAGGGGTAAAAGTTGGCGAACTGTGTATCCGCTACGCGCAGAGGAGATCCCAGAGATGGCCGCTACCGGGTCAGCAACGGTAACGGCGGAAGACCCGCCTTCGAATTTCGACATGAACCAATTCCTGCGAAATACTCTTTCGTCGTTTGTGTTGCCCGTCACCGAACGCGCGAGCGAAGCACTGACAGCTGTCGGAGCTAGTTCCCCTCCCACAACGAGGACCATGTCCTCGACGAAGTCCGTTCCCAATTTCTTATCCTCTGTGGTTGCTCAGGACGATTGTGCCTACTGTAGCCAATTACAGCCGGTAGCCGACCAGCTGTACTGCCAACAGTGCACGAATCTGTTTTCGAACATGCCCGAAAGAGCCGCTAATCATCACCTCCTTAAGAAAAGAGGTGATAGCAGCGCGAGCCATCGTCTCTTGACTACCTCCTTCATCAATCCAACGATGTGTCATGTGGCGGTGCAGACGTGTGCCGACGTCAACGACGGTATGTTACTTGTTTTCTAACTTGTATCTCATCGAGCACCACTCTGAACGTTTTCAGACAATAAACAATCGTAGAGTGGTGCGTAACAGCTGTGTAACTGAAGTCAGAGGGACTAAAATGGTCAGAGTCGCTTGATCGTCGGAGGCTCGAACTCAGTTAAGTTCTGACGAGTTCACCTCCCGCTTAGCTTACTCGTTTTTTATCCTTATGAGGTAAACTAATGTGTCATAGTATATGCTAAGGAAGCACGAAACTGAACCCTTTAATGAATGCTTAGCTGTAGCATTTGACTTCAAAAATAAACATGCCCTTCAACAATTAATTAATTTTGACTGTTGATTCACCATTTATTCATTTTTGTTTGATTCATAGTTAAACTAAAGTAGAGTTACTTGGAAAGAAAACGAAAATTTGTAATAGCTAAACTGTCGATTTGCCTTACACTTCATTTCTGGCCTCCTTCTTTTCATGAAGTTAAAGAATCAGGCAGAATCGATAGCAGCTGTGTGGCAATCTTAGCATATAGTCTCCTGTTTCCTTCCCTCCGAGTAGTGTTTATTTATCATCCTCGGAAGGATGAAAGGCACGTGAGCCAGACCAGGGATCAGACCTGAAATGTTTCAGTTTCGAGTCCAGAGCTTTATTCTGAGCAATCCCGGTTTGAAGGAAAGTATGGTAAATTCCTTGCTAAAATATATTACACGACCACTATTCAATCCAGAGCAAGATCCGCAATGACCCTGCATTTTATAGCGGTGGACCACCTGCAGGAATGGCCACGCTTCTTATATTTGTTCCTCATTTGGTCGACAGCCCTACTGGAACCGGATTCAAGACTTGACGAAATGTTGTCAGGTTGTTCAAAAGCAAATTTATTCTGAGCTACTGCACAGAA